GGAAGACGTGCGGAAGCTCAAAATGCTAGACAAGGGATCGAGTTTCGCTCTGATACAATGAAGAATTTGATAACGCGGTAAAGAAAGAACACAAGAGACACGAGATTTTACGTGGTATCCTTGATCGATTGATTGATCGAGACTAATCCATGGCGAGCTCGAAAGAGCTCATGACTGGCGTTTTATTAGAGGACTACATTGTGACGGCTTGCTTACAACAATCTCCGCAGCTAAGCTATGTATAGAAAAAAAAAAACTAAGGTTAAAACCTAAGGACGACCGAGTGTCCTTCTCCTTCTGGGACAAGAAACAAAAGGCCAAAGACTCTGTTACTTATTGACCAAGTAACAAAAGTAACCACAACAGGTGAAGGCTCATGTAAATGCATGTGTGGATGAACAATAATGATAATTACAAATGAGAAGGGATGTAAGTAAATTTGCAGCAACTAATTAAGTTTAAATTGACATGGTGGCATGGTCCTATGGATGGCTTCGTTGCACTTCAAGCAAGGAGTTGTGTTAGAGAGAAGTATAAGATCCAGCATAACCTTCTCCCAACAACTCGAGTTATTGGGACCAGTTGGTTTATGATAGGGCTGGGAAACGGTGCGGTCTGGTCCAGACCAGACCATATATACGGTCTATGGTCCAGACCGAGAGGCTGAAGTATAGACCACAGACCAGACCATAGACTATACGGTCCGGTCCAGACCACGCCTGTGCGGTCTGGTTCGGTCTGGTCTGGTCCAGATAGACCACACTCAAAGAAAAATGAATAATTTGTTTAGTCAATCACACAAAAAATTAAACCAATAACCAAGAAAAATAATTTTTATTTGCCTTAAAACATTAATCGTAACCTGCATGAATAATTTTGATACCCTAAATCTTAGTACATAACAAAAATCCAAAGTAAAAGCATCCCAACTTGCACCATAAAGTTATAAACATTAACATAATGTCATATGGAGACACGATTATCTCTACTCTTTGGTTAAATGTGGTTGTGAATGAAGGGGAGACGAGATTCTCAAAATTAAGGTTGAGACTTGGGTGTCGTTGTGGGAGTTGGGAGAGTGATCGAATGGGCTATTCACACGTATTGACAAGTCGGTTGGGTCCATGGTTTGGTCCGGTAAACCGCGGTCTAGACCAGACCAGACCAGACCAAGAGATCAAAACATAAAATAATACAGACCATGTACCAGACCAGACCATACTTAACGGTCTACGGTCCATACCAAACTGTGCGGTACGGTTTGGACCATGGTTTTTCTAACGGTCTGGTCTATTTTCCCAGCCCTAGTTTATGACATGGTATCAGAGCTGGTGTGTCCTTGAGGTCACGTGTTCAAGTCCTCACGACCCCCAATATTAACCGTTGTCTTCAAGCACATGGTATGGCGAGCCTGTGCAAACTTCAAGCCCACGAGTTGGTTTTCGTTTGTGGGGGGCGTGTAAGGAAGTGGTTAAGTACCATACATGATCCTCTCCCAACAACTCGAGTTATTGGGACCAGCTGGTTTATGACAGTTATTGGGACAAGTTGGTTTATGACATGATATTAGAGTTGGTTTGACCAAGTGACCGTGTGTTTGAATCTCCACGACTTCCAATATTAACAGTTGATTAAAGCACAAGGTATGGTGATCACCTGTGCAAACTTCAAGCCCATGGGTTGGCTTTCGTTTTGGGGCGCGTGTTAGAGAGTGGTATAAGATCCAGCATAATCTTCTCCCAACAACTCGAGTTATTGGGAACAGTTGGTTTATGACAAGCTGAAGCATCGGATCTACTAACTTGGGGGATAATTCAAGTCAATCAGTTTGAATGTAAGGTGAGTGGTAAAAGGGGGTAAATTCTACGTATGATGAGTTTTTATCATGTGCTTTTATGTATAATGTAATGCTAGTACTTGAGTTTATGTTTGTGTTTGAGGATGCCTGCTCTTTATTTTAGTTATTATCCGAGACAATTGCTAGAGCTTTCAATATTTACTTGAAGCTGTTATGTTAATGTCTTCTATTAGTAGTATTTTACCACTATAGGATTTAAGGTAAAAATGTCAAGAGTTAGGTCACTAATGCCAATCTCCCACCCTAGTGAAAGTTTAAAGGAAGAGCACGCTATGCTCTTACGGCTTATGGGATGAATCAATAAGACTCCCATAAAGATGTGAAAGTTAAAGGAAGAGCATAATATGCTCTTCAGGTGTATGAGGATGAATCAATAAGACTCGCATAAAAGGATAAGGAAATGATAGGCCTAAATCGACCCTCATAGGTATGATTTAAGCGGCTGACTAGTTAGTGAGGGGATCCCTGATTCGGTCAAAGGTTTAAATTTTTTAGGGTGGCGAGTAACAACAACTCCAACATTTTGAGGGTTTAAGATTGGTAGTGATAACAACTTCCACTGTTTTTAAGGAGAACCTTAAGGAAAACCCCTCAAATGCTCGTAGACTTTTAGTAACGACGTAGACTTGACCCCAATCCACTCACCTAGTCGTAGAGAAGGACTGATGGAGCAGCCAGTTGAAGAGCAACCAACTAGAGAGTAGCCAACTAAAGGAGGACTCTAGGAAGAATCATTTTCAATTTTAGGTAATTAGTACACTACAAAAAGACATACAGTTCTGACGATAACTTTCTGACAGTAGTAAATTTTCGTCGGAAAAAGACATTTTTCTGACCAAAAAACTATGTCAACAGTAATATCCACCTTTTTGGTGACCACATAAAAATCTCGTCAGTAATTGTAATATTTTTCATTAGTTATGTCCATTTATGGTGCAATTCCAAACCATCATTATTTTCGACAACTATATTTTTTTGGGTCGGTAATACTCAATATTACTAATGAAAATTCATTTTCCCCCGGAAACAAATCTTAATTATTGACGGTGAAAAAAAATTTGTAAAAAAAATTAACATTGTTGACGCAATTACTATGTCGTCAGTAATACGTTGTCAGAAAAGATACTATTATTGACAAGTCATCAAGTCATCGAAAATATGAAATACTACAAAAGACAATGAGATAGTTATCAGTAATAAGTGTCGCAACCGTCCCTCGGAATCGGGGCCGACCGCATCGTGGTCTTAGTCACCATCGATCTTACTAATAGAGCATTCGACTCTAGTTGTTCCACTCTCGACCTTAAGGTCCAAACTGGGACCTAGTCTGCGAATTATAAGGATTTTAGATTGAGGGTATGGTTACGTGTGAGAAAGTGTATTCGCACCCAATACCCTAAACTAGTACTACCGAAATTGATAAATTAAGAGTTGGGTGTTTTATTGTTCGGCTTATTGCATATTTAATGTAGGATTCAATTAGTCAAGTATTTATTGTATTGCGTATTTAGAGTCCAATATTGGACTATTGAATTAAAATGAATTTCATATCCGTGGTCGTGAAAATGGCGCAACAAACATATAACGAGTTTTTCAGTCTGTCTCGACAACTAGATGAGCACCCACACCCAACTCAACCCACTAATTTCAAAAGTGGGTAAAATTCTCACCCGACCAAAAATTCATCAAAACTAGATTTTACCTACTTTGATTGGGTTTGATTGTTTACCCTGAGTACGGGCTCAATTGTCATCCCTAGAGGGACGAGGCTTCTTATCACATCCCTAAGTAGTCTAATGGATTGAATTATTATAATAAATATGTTATTCTTGTATGTGCTACTTATATTTCTCTTGTTATAAGGCACTAGTTTATTAACGGTTTGATATCGGTTAATTAGTAAAATGTGAATCACTCACTAGACCGATAGAACATTGGTCTCCACTACACGCACCCAATTGTGAAATTTCATATTAGTAAGGGTGTGTTAGGAAATGTGTATTTCTAATGCTTGTATTTGAAATTTAAGTAATCCAAATACATTGTGGTTATTCATTTGCAACTTTTTGGTATTTTAGATTTTATTATTTCTATTTTTTGAATTTGGAGTCATCTTGCCAAGTATTAAAAAATTATATTTTAGACCTAATTTCTTGTTCCTTCAACTTTATTACCTAAAATTTAAATTTTTCATACAATTAGAAATTAGTTGGCCATAAAAAAAATTAGTACTTATATTTTTTTCTTCCTATTATAATCCAGTTTCAAGAAGGCGCAGGCATGCATTGGAGCTTTGCCTAGCTCCTAACACTTTTAAGTAGGGGTATACAAGGCTTGGGTGGTTTGAGTTTGGTCATTTTAATCACCCAACTCATATATTACGATTTTGAAAATATGAAATCAAACCCCACTAAAAAAATTAAAACCCTACAGTTTGTTTATAATTGGGTTGAGTCGGGTTGGAGATACTTTTAATTAAAAACCCAACCCAACACAAAAAAGAAAACTATTATACATTACAAAAATATTATATAACTAATTAAAATTTTAAAGAATTAAATGGAGGCAAAAAAGTATCGATACCATAAATGTTGTTTGGATTTGAATGAAATGCAATTTACTTCAACATATGTCTAGTCTTTTTCGTTTTTTTTAAATAAGCTAAAGTGGTTATAAGCTAACACATTCATTATATATCGTTCTTCTAAAATTATACGCAAGAAAAAAGATCACGTGAATTATAGCTTATATTAAATCTACATCTAAATATTCAGTTGAAGAATGTATTCAACTAGGGAAACCACAAGAGAAAAATATGATAATATAAGCTTAATTTTCTCAGAAATATGTTTATTGACGACACAAATATGTTTTCGATACGAACACTTGTGACAATAGTTCAACACATATTGGGTCGAGTTCTACGGGTTACGTTACCCAAAATCCGTACCCAACCCAATAGAGGCAGTTGTACAAAAGAAAACTCTCACATAACATTAAACTTTAATTTTGACGATAAATACAGGTGGGTCGGGTTGAGGGTTGTTTTGTTTACCCCTACTTTTAAGCATCGTCTAAGTGTGCCTAGATGCTGAAAGAAAAATACCAATTTTTACTTCATGTTAAATGAAATCACAATTTACAACATTTTCACACTTCAACTCAAATAATTAATAGCTTACTTAATACTTAAAAAACAATAAAAATAGCTCACAAGTTGATAGAGTCTTGACTCATTGACTCATAGACTTCATGAACTATTGAAAAAATTGAGATAGAAATTTGAATTTATAGAAGACGTTAATTTCCCATTTGATATTTACTGCCTAGACTTGAGCAACCGATCCGATCTCTGGTTATTCCGTGAGGATTGCTACGAGTCACTAATACATAATGAACAAGGGAGGCTTGGGGCAGACACCAGAACAGTATTTGAAGAATTAACAGTCGATATATGAGGTCTATTACATCCTATCTACACAATGCAGCGAATACAGTTTATTGCAGGAGCACACATTCTTTTGGCTTCCAAATATACATCTCACCGAAAAGAAAGTAACAGTACTAGTACACTTCCACATTCCACTGCTCAGCCTTCTTCAGCTGCTTCTTGTAATCAAACCAATCAATTCCTGCCAACAACAGGGAAACAACAGATTTAAAGATTATAAGAATAACCACCAACAAGCAAAGCTTATTCACAACATGGAACGTTTTTTTGCCAAAATTCCTTCCAAGATGTTTCGGAAGCTTTACCATCCTTAGCAGCCAAACCGACCATAATGTCATCGATGCCCTTCTCCATTCCCTTCAATCCACACATGTACACGAATGTGTTATCTTTCTTCAGTAGCTCCCACAGCTCTTCGGCATATTGAGCCATGCGCGTTTGGATGTACATCTTTTCGCCTTTCTCGTTAGTTTGCTCTCTGCTCACTGCAAAGTCTAGCCTGAAGTTTTCAGGTGCCTTCTCCTTCATCTTCTCAAATTCCTGCCCGTGCCAATGTCGAATGAAGATTTAACAAAGTGTACAACTTAATCATAGTTTAAAAAACGGGTTTTTGGTTGAATATACCTCCTTGTACAGCAATGAGCTGCTAGTGGGAACTCCCAGGAAGAGCCATGCGAGCCCATTGAACTAGAAAAATTGTTGGCAGGGAATTCAGTGATGTCTATCTATATGAGTGTTTGACAGTCCTCATGACATCAACTTAGCTGACACATCAACAGAGTGGCTTGCAAAGAAAGAAAACAAATGATATTCAGTTTGTACCTTGTAGTCCTCATGCTTCTCAAAGAACATTTTCCACAAGAACGATCTGAAGGGTGCAATGCCAGTCCCAGTCGCAAGCTGCAAAGAAGAGGAGTTCAACGCAGATAGCATAAAAATCTACTGGAACCCATAACGGCTGAATGCATAAGAGCAGTTTATTTACCATGACAATTGTGGCATTAGGATCTTTTGGCATAAGCATTTCTTTCCCAACTGGTCCTGTGATTGAAACTTCTGAGCCGGGCTTCAAATCACCTGGAGTCGAGCACAAACACAGACCGCAATTACTCACAAGCATTAAGCTCTAACCAAAGTGACCCATTTTTCTTAATTGGAGACAGCAAATTTTGTTCTAGCCTCGTGAACTTACACAAGAAATTTGAGCAGACTCCCTTAACAGTCTCTCCTTGGTCATTGACGTAGACAAGCCTCTTGACACAAAGGGAGACCTGAAAATGGCGATTGCAATGACAAGGATTCCAAAATTCAAATGAACATGCAGTCCAGTGGCAAGTAGAAGAAAGATGGGTAAAATTCTTTGATTGTAGGGAAAAGACCATTCATTACGTTAACTTAAAAGTTGAAGGAGAAGAGTTAGAAATAGCCCTACAGTTTTAGAGTCACCAAAATCACCGAGAGCACTGCTGGCAATTGAATATAATCTAAGCTTGTGAGGCTTCCCATTCTTGTCAATGCCCTCTGGAATAACTCCAATTGACTGCCCTTCTCTGTACGGCACCTCCCCTGATTCGGCCGAAGAAAACGAGAAGTACCCAGTTCATTCAGTGGAAGGAAAACATCAGCCTCAAACATCCCAAAAGGACTTATACATGAGCGCAATTAAAACAGAGATATGACACACCTTCAGTGCTGAAAACCATGTGCCAGGTCTCGCCAGGTGCGTCATCGCCAGTGATCTTGGTGTTGAGAAGGCATCTCCCGGTGTAAGGCTCCTTGGGTTTGAACTTGTTCACAACCACACCTTCCTCCTGTTTCTTGGACTCCTTCTTGACCTTAGCAGGAGCTTCGGTGGTGACCTGGCTTCTCACTGAAACCAGTCCCCTGCTTCCAGTATGCACATGAGATGACTGACGAAATGCAAACAAGAAAAGAAAGATGGAAAAAGCCCCTTGTCAGGAAACGAGTTCGAGTAAAAAGTGGAAGCAGATCAGAGAGATGGGTGAGGGGAACCCAGAGACAGAATTGTAACCTTCTTGAAGGTGATTCTTTCGTGGGTGAAGACGATGGAGGTTCTGGAAGAGAGTGGGGAGGAGGACTTGGTAGAAGGAAAAGATACTGCAGCGGAAGTCACTGCAGCTGCCATAGTAATGTGAGGGAAGAATGCAGAGAAGAGATGTGGAAGAGAAGGGAAGTGTGAAAAAGGGATCACTAGAGACTAGTGTTTGCATTTTGTTGGTTCTAGTTTGAGGAGATTACGCGATTGCGTGGACCAGATTCTGGTTGGCAATGCAGTGGCTCTTGTGATGTGAGGATAAGTCTACGCAAAGAGTAAAAGATAAATATGACTGTTGTCTTATCGTTCCCCTCGCTCTCCATCAAAACGACGGCGTCATTGGTATTCTGTCTTACTTTTCTACCAAAAAGGAATTGGGTAAATTGCAAGTTTGGTCATTGAGTTTATTAAAAAGGTTAATGTTTAGTCACTGAAAATATTTAATTTCATTCGTGATTACTCAAATTAGTTCAATAGTTCAAGTTTGGTCACTCCCCCGTCCAATTCCGTTATTTTTATCTAATGTGGCGGTCAATTATTAGAGTTGACCGTTAAATTAGTGATGTGGCTATTAAAAATAATAAAAATTAATCTTTTCAATTTTCACCTCATTTAAACAATCCATTAAAATAAATAAAATAAAATTATCAAATTGAAATTAATTCCTCCCTCCAGCTCTTTCACCTCCTCCACCGCCACTTCCCTTTCGCCGATAATTCTCTCCTCCCTCTCTTTCCCTCATCAATCTCTCACTAAAGTATCATCTTTTTCCAACTTCTTATGTAACTCTGTTTCCCGGACACTAACATAAATTAGGCTCCCCAATCTCTATGTTCCCTCATCAATCCCCCCCTTCTGTTTTCTATTTTCGTTGTTGCGAAATTAGGCTCCCAATCATACATCGGAGTCAACTACGCCCAAGTCACCGTCAATCAAACATCGTTGTTGCAGAACAGAACCTCATCTCCGGTGACCAGACCGTCATCTCCCGAATCCTCCCGGCGACGAAGGCGCTGCTGCAGTTCCAGAGGGGTAGGGTCCCCGATCGCCGTGAATACATACCCATTCTTCGCTTACGAGAGTGACCCGAAGGCGCGCGACTTCTACTTGAGGGTTAAGATCAGGTGACTAAGGGGTACCCTTAGTCACTTGGCTAAGTTAATCTCAGCCTTCCATGCTCATTAAAATCCTAAGGCTACAATTAATTTATTTTAAGGAAGGACAACATGGTAATTATACATTTTAATTTTGTAAATAAAAAAAAAGAAAAAGAGCCCTTCCCTCACCTGTTTGTCGCACGCGGAGATGAATCCACAGAGACGGCGGCGGCCATGGACGACGGCGGCGAAGGACGGCGGTGGCCAGGGACGACGACGGCGAAGGACGACGGCGGGTCGATGGCGTTCTGTGTTCGGGGGAGAGAGAGAGAGGCGGAGGTAGAGGAGAAGAGAGAGAGGCGATGGCGACCGTAGAGGAGAGAGAGCGGCGGCAGTAGAGGAGAAGAGAGAGAGACGGTGGTGGCGGCGAGGAACAACGACGACGACGGCGAGGAACGACGGCGGCGGCGAGGAACAACGACGACAAGAGAAGACGAGAGGGACGACGACCGTGGAGGAGAGAGAGGCAGCGGCGGTTGAGGAGGAGAGAGACACCGACATCGCCAATTTGTTGGCGGCGACGATTTCGTAATTTCATCATTCCAGTTTGTATACTTTATGTTATGATTTGTACTGTTTGTATGTTTTGTATTGTTTTGTACGTTTAGTATGCTTTGTACTGTTTGTCGGATTATTTTGTAATGTTTGTACGCTTTGTTATTTTGTAATGTTTGTTGGTTTCTTTTGTATTGTTTGTAATCTTTGTATGACTATTTTGTATATATTGTAATTTGCAATTTTTGTTGCTCTAGTTTGTATACTTTTATGTTAAGATTTGTATACTTTGTATTCATTTGTTTGTAATACAAGTTTATCAATCTGTATTGTAAGTAGTGATATTTTGTACGTTTAGTATGTTTTGTACTGTTTGTCGAGTTATTTTGTAATGTTTGTACGCTTTGTAATGTTTGTAATGTTTGTTGGTTTCTTTTGTATTGTTTGTAATCTTTGTATGACTATTTTGTATATATTGTAATTTATAATTTTTGTTGCTCTAGTTTGTATACTTTTATGTTAAGATTTGTATACTTTGTATTCATTTGTTTGTAATACAAGTTTATCAATCTGTATTGTTAGTAGTGATATTTTGTACGTTTAGTATGCTTTGTACTGTTTCTTTTGTAATGTTTGTAATGTTTGTTGGTTTCTTTTGTATTGTTTGTAATGTTTGTTATTTTTGTCCACATGTTTGTCATTTTTGTCAACCATGTTTGTAATGTTTTTTGCATCACAAATCAATACATATAAAGTATACAAATTATTAGTACTTACAATACAAAGCGAAACATACTAAGAATACAAGCAAAACATACTAAGAATACAAACTGTCAAAGAAAAACATACTAAGAGTACAAACTGTCAAAGAAAAACATACTAAGAGTACAAACTGTCAAAGAAAAACATACAAACCATACTGACATTTTGTACAAAAATACTAACAATACAAACTAATGTTACAAAACATACAAACTATACAAATCACTGTTCTTCCTTCAGACGACGATACGATCTCTCTCCACCGCTGCCGCCGCCGTCGACTCTCTCTCCACCGCTGCCGCCGCTGATTCAATCTACTGCCATCGCAACCTCTCTCTCTCACTCTCTCCATCGTCGCGCCGCCTCTCTCTCCTCCATTGTCGCCGACGCTCTCTCTCCGCCATTGCCTCTCTCTCCTCTGTTTTCCGATGATGAAGACCAGATCTGTTTTTCTCTCTCTTCAACGCCTTTGCCTCCGTCGCGATCTCCTTTCCCTCTTTCCATCGTCGCCGTCGCTATCGCCATCGTGGTCGAGGTCTCCTTTCTCTCTCTTCATCGTCGCCGTCGGTCGCCTCTTTTCCATCGTCGCCTTCGTCTTTCTATCTCTCCCGTGGCTAGCAGCGCAGAAGAGAAGGTGGAGAAAAAAAAATTATTGAATTTTTTCTAATTCCAGGATTGCCCTTCTTATTAATAAAATAGTCCTTCCATTATCTACACCATTAGATTGATCCAAGGGTTGAGGGGGCTTAGCCAAGTGACTAAGCACCCCCCCTTAGTCACCAGATCCGCTCTCTCTACTTGATGACCTTTCCATTAGATCGGAGTCGGGGTACCCAGATTGCTGGCTATCTCGGCGAAATTGTTAGGGAGGAAACAATTAACCAGGGAATCCTCAGCAGCGACAATGGAGTAGTCAAGGTGAGGAGGGTAGGAGCAATGGGTTCTGGCTGTAGTGGAGATTTTCGAGATCTAAAAATGGGAGAAGACTGGGGACGAAGAAGAAGAATGGGAAATGAGGGATTTTTTGGGGGTTGAGGAGAGGAGGAAAGTTTTTTCTCCGGTCCGTTCTTTTTTGGTTATTTAAGGTGTTTTTCATTTTTTATAATTATAATTTATTACTTTTCTAGTTTATTTATTTTAACTTATTTGTTTAAAATGAGGTGGAAATTGAAAAAGATTATTTTATTTATTTTATAATTTTTTTAATTGCCACGTCACTTACATAACGGTCAACTCTAAGAGTTGACTGCCACATAAGATAAAGATAACGGAATTGGACCGAGAGTGACCAAACTTGAACTATTGAATTAATTTGAGTGACCACGAATGAAATTAAATATTTCCAATGACCAAACATGAACCTGGAGCGACCCAAAACAAACGAAGAAGGAAATATCACAGAAGAAAAGCAGTGCTTTGTTGGGGTATCAAACTCCTGTCGAAAAAACAGCCCCTGGTGGTGCATATCGTGGTCCCAGAAGCGGTACGACCACCTCATCCCTCTATATCGCCGCCCATAGCTTAAAGCAGAACTTACAAGCTTCTCACTGACCTCCGTGGGAAAGCTAAGTGCCCCTATTTAGTAAGGCGCCCTCTCTTTACGCGAATCGGGTATTACCGGCCGATGGCGAATAAGTCCTCACAACAAAGGTTAGGTGCTTGAGATCATAACTGCTTACAGCAGCGCTCCTGGCGCGAGACTCTTTCGCCGTTAATGAATTCGGTAAGGAAAGGAAGGGTAGAGCCTCATGGTCAATTGAATAAGCACTTCCCTCAGAATTCGTCGAACTCGAAATAAGAGGCTTTGCCTTGGTCTTTATTGCGCACTAGTTTACGATTCGACCCCGGGGGCGTCTAATGCGCAGACTCCAAAACAAAGATTCGCATGATTAGGTAGTTTTTTCAACTTCAATATTCCTTTCCTAGGAATACTATTAACGATTTCCAAAATTAAAGAAACTTATTTTCTTCGCTCCTGGGCCGGCTCTTTCAAGGGCCACATAGATCCGTTGAGTCAAGCCCCTCATGAATGGGAGGGCGGGCTTTTTAGTAAACCCAGTGATCAAACTTGCAATTTACCCAAAAAGAATTTTACAATGCTATATAGCATTCGTGAGATAAGTTTTTGTCTTTATGGTGCAACTTCATATTAGTTTTTGTCTTTATGGTGCAACTTCACATTGTATCTAGATTCTTTGTATAAATTTTTTTTATGGTACAACTTTAAGTTGTAAAATTGTATCATAACATAATGGTACAAATTCTTTTATGGTACAATCTGAACTTGTACATTTAACGTTATAGTACAACTTCATGTTGTAAATTAAAGCACCAATGTTTTATAGCATAGAAGAAGTGCTCTTCTACCAAACAGTTATTTGGTGATGTAGTTTTAGAATGCGCGTAGCGGCGTAGGTGTAGATCCGCGCCAAATTGGCTAGTATGCTAACACATTTTTTTTTGTTAGTATGCGATGCTGCTAACACCTATGCCAGTCAATAGAATTCTTTCCTTGTGTAGATTTTTTATGTCAAATTTGTTAGCCATTTTTTCATGTGAAAATTTAATAGAAGGGTATGTCATCGCAAAATTTCAACCATAATTTCTCCCTACAGCAAGAAGGAACCACACTAAGGGGATTTGACGAAACCAATACCAACTGTGGAGATCGTGGCGGTGGTGGAGATGCACAGGGGAAATGATATCTGAATTCTGGATGGTGCAATTTTACCTAAGCTATGAGTTGAATACTATTTTTGACATGTTGGATTACCTAACTTCTAGGCCCAAAAACCATGCTCCCCATTCACAAAAAAAAAAAAAAAAATAACTTACCTCTTTATTCTTTATAAATATTTACCATTAGATTTAGTTTTTTTTCTTTCAAAATCAATGGTTAGGATTTGATTGTCTAGTTCTATACAACCGTTTTGTATTGGAAAGTCAACCAAAGTTATAAATGTATTCAATTCAAATTAAATATACTTTGTCCTTTCTATACGTTTCTGTTTCTGTTTCATTGGTAAACCGCAAATTATGCAGGGAAATTATAACAGATGACAACAAAAAAAGAGAAGAACAAAAAAGAAACAAGTAATTTACTAGGGCTCTAGGAAATCAAAATCAAAGGGAGAAAGAAGAGGAAAAATTGAAGAAGAAAAGAAGAAGAACACAGCTAGCGAATTCGCGTATGGCTGCTCCGAAGACGTTGACGGCCCTGGCTGAAGAGAAGACATTGCATGCAAACTTCATTCGCGACGAGGATGAACGCCCCAGAGTAGCTTACAATCAATTCAGCAACGAAATCCCCGTGATCTCCCTTGCCGACGGGACCAACGAGGAGGCAAAAAGAAGGGAAGTTTGCAAGCAAATCGTCAAAGCCTGCGAGGAATGGGGGATTTTTCAGGTCGTGGATCATGGAATCGACTCGGACCTTATATCTAATATGACTCGTCTCGCTCTCGAATTTTTCGCTTTGCCGCCCGATGAGAAGCTCCGATTCGACATGTCTGGTGGGAAGAAAGGTGGCTTCATTGTTTCCAGCCATTTACAGGTGATCGCCTTTGCGTTTAATTATTTTTCTATCATTTACAACTGATTTATGACATGGTATCAGAGTCTGGTTTTGGCCAAGTGGTCGTGTGTGTTCGAATCTCCACGACCCCCAATGTTAGGGAGTAGCACTAATAATCTTGTGCGTCGCGGATGCATATGTAGGGAGAAGCGGTGCAGGATTGGCGCGAGATAGTAACCTACTTTTCGTACCCGATCCGGAACCGGGACTATTCGCGGTGGCCGGACAAGCCGCCGGCGTGGAGGGCGGTGACGGAAGAGTACAGCGAGAAGGTAATGGGATTGGCATGCAAACTGCTGGAGCATCTGTCAGAAGCCCTGGGGTTGGAGAAGGAAGCGCTGGTCGAAGCCTGCGTAGATATGGACCAAAAAGTGGTGGTGAATTACTACCCGAAATGCCCTCAGCCTGACCTGACCCTCGGCCTTAAGCGGCACACTGATCCGGGGACCATCACGGTATTGCACCAGGACCAGGTCGGAGGCCTCCAAGCCACCAGGGATGGAGGTCAAACCTGGATCACCGTTAAACCCATTCAAGGCGCCTTCGTGGTCAACCTCGGTGATCATACCCACGTAAGAATCTTCTCAACGTCCATGCCCGTCTTATGCCTAACGCCTTTTTGAACCTTGATTATTTCATGTGGAATCAAATATATTGTTTTCCCTGTGTGGATGCATGAGCAGTTGCTTAGCAACGGGAGGTTCAAGAGCGCGGACCATCGGGCAGTGGTCAACTCAAACTGTAGCCGGCTCTCAATAGCCACATTTCAGAATCCAGCTCCTGAGGCAAAGGTTTATCCACTGAAGATGAGAGATGGTGAGAAAGTTGTGATGGAGGAAGCGATCACATTTGCGGAGATGTACAGGAGGAAGATGATGCGGGACCTTGAGCTGGCTCGGTTAAAGAAGTTGGCCAAAGATCAAACAACTGATGCTGATGGCAAGCCTAAAGGGGAAGCCACGCCTTTAGAAGAGATTCTTGCTTGAACTTTTTCTTCTTCTTGTTTTTTTTATATATATCATAAAACGGCAACAAGTATGGTGCCGGTACTACACTGATGTTGTCATTTTATTAGCAGTTAGATATTGTACATTAAATTAGTGCCTTTGATTTAGATTCACCATTTATTCCAAACTCGTTGAATTATTTTTCATTCACCATTTATGGACTGTGTGTGGAGTAGAAGGTTGTAGAGAAATCATTAATGGGGTTGGCTGCAATTATTAGTAATTAAAGAATTGAAAAAATTAGAAACCACAAACCTATGGCGGTTCTAAACTGTGAGTGTAGATCTTTTGTAAGTTCGAGCTTATAAATAGGCACGATTGGGAACCCGAGCCAAGAAAAGCAAGAAGTAGCCAAGAACAAAAGTTCTTTCATCAATTCCTCTTACCTTGTTTCAATTACAAGACATTCATTCTTTCCTCCCAAAACATTTTCCCAACCATAGCAAATAAACAGAAATTCATTTTCCCAAATAAACAAACTGTTCACTTCCTATTGCCAAATACGTGCCAAATGCCCACCATATAAAAGGAAATAACATTTATTTCCAACAAAGTGGAAACAAAGTCTAAGTCATTTCTTAGAATGCTCTGTGAGCGCAGTCTGAACTTCCACATCATAAAAGAATTTCTCGTGGTGTTGTTATAATGATTGAACTATAACCCAAAAATCAAATTTTCCAATTCAATTCCTAATTAAATCCTGCCAAAAAGAAGGTGAGAAAAATAGAAAGAGTGATAAAAAAAAGTACTCACTCTTATTCATCAATGTTTTGATGAATCGATGTTCGACCAAGTAGCATATGCTCGCACTACAAAGGAAGCATGTGATATTTTGCAAAATGAAATGCAAGGTGTAGAACCTGTAAAGAGGTTCGACTTCAGACACTCATGGGAGATTTTGAATCAATGAAATGGGAATAAAAGTGACTGTTACATCAAAGTTATGAGATCATATAGAGAGGGAGAATTTATACTAAAGAAGTTTAGAAGGTTTTGTGAATATCAAGGAATTCACAAGTTCTCACATTCCCAAGATCCCCATAGGAGAATACAGTTGTTGAGAGGAAAACAGAACTGTACTCAACATTGTGAGAAGCATGTTGAAAAGCAAGAATCTGTCAAAGGAACTATGGGTTGAGGATGTTAACTGTGCATTCTACATGTTGAATAGGTCACAAACAAAGAGTGTTCGGAATAAAACACCCCAAGAAGCATGGAGCGGAAGGAAACCCACAGTCTCTCATCTCCTAGTCTTTGTAAGTGTCAGATATGTGCACGTATCGGATCAAGAAAGGAAAAGGTTGGATGATAAAAGCAAGGAGTACTTATTCTTTGGATACTCTAAACATTATAAGGGATCAAGATGTTTGATCTTGTGGAAGAGAAGGTGATCATTAGCAGAGACGTGGTAATTAATGAAGAAGCAACATGAGACTTGACTACTGAAGCACATAAGAAGTATACCTTTTATCAATTCACTTCTGATGAAAGTGATGAAGTATACAGATACACTTTATCGAGTCCATCCAGTCATAGAGAGCATGCTAGCTCAACAGGAAGTTCAAGTGAAAGTCCAACAGAAAGGCCACAGAAGTATCGATGTCTTAAAGATCTTTATGATGCTACAACAAGCATTGATGGTGATGAATTGACACTATACTGTCATTTCATTGATAATGAACCAGTGGATGCTTAAAAAGTCATGAAAGATGAAAAACAGAGAAAGACTATGGATGAAGAAATTCAAGCATTTGAGAAGAACAAGACTTGGGAGCTTGTATCACTTCCTGAGAACCAGAAACCAATTTGTGTGAAATGGATATTCAAGGCGAAAAAGAATGCAAAGGGAGAAATTTTCAAATATAAAGCAAGACTAGTCACAAAAGGATACAGTCAAAGACTAGACATTGACTTCAATGAACTATTTGCTCCCGTGGCAAAAATTGAGAGTATTCGCATGGTGATATCTCTCGCTGCTCAAAATGGATGAAAGGTACATCACATGGATGTGAAGTCAGATTTTCTGAATGAATATCTTGAGTAATATTTATATATTGAGCAACCTTCTGGATATATCATTGAAGGCCAAAAGGATAAGGTGCTAAAGCTCAAAAAGTTGTTGTATTGTTTGAAACAAGCACCTAAAGTTTGGAATGACAAGATTGACAAGTATTTTTAGCATAACAGGTTCAGTAAATGTCCACATGAGCATACCTTATACTACAAGGTCCAATGGAGAGCAATATTAATAGTTTGTTTGTACTTGGATGATAGCATCTTCACAGTCATTGATCCTTAAATGTTTGAAGAGTTCAAGAAGACAATAGTTCGTGAGTTCGAGATGACAAAAATTGGAACGATGTCATACTATCTTATCATTAAAGTGAGTCAAAAGGAGGAAGAAATTTTTATCTCACAGAGTGGTTTTGCCTAGGAGGTCCCGAAGAAGTTTAAAATGGAGAAGTGTAATCCTGTGAGCACCCCAACTGAGTGTGGACTGAAGTTATCCAAAGATGACAAAAGAGTTAAGGTTAACTCGACTGAGTTTAGAAGCCCTTGTGGGAAGTCTGAGATATCTGACTTGTACAAGACCAAATATTCTCTACGCAGTTGGGTTAGTCAGCAGAAACATGGAGGCACTGACAATGTCACACTGGAATGCTGCTAAGAGAATCTTGTGCTACATTAAAGGTACAATTGATCATGGGTTGTTTTATACAAAACTGGTTGGATACTGCGATAGTGATTGGACAGGAGACGTGGATGATCTCAAAAGCACTACATGATTTGTATACTTTTTGAGAGATATAGCTTTCACATAGAGTTCAAAGAAGCAAACTATCGTGACACACTATCTACTTGGAAAGTCGAATATGTTGCTACAACATCATGTACGTGTCATGTGATTTGGCTCATAAAGTTGCTGAAGGAGTTGAACATGGAACATGAAGAGTCTACTGAGATATTTGTGGATAACAAATCTACCTTGGCGTTAGCAAAGAATCCAGTGTTCATGATCGCAACAAGCATATTGATACGAGATATCATTTTCTGAGAGAATGCGTGGAGACGAAAGAAGTGATGCTGGAATATGTAAAGAATGAAAACCAGACTGCTGATATCTTCACTAAGCCGCTCAAGTAAGACGTGTTTGTCTAGATGTGGACACAACTCGGAGTTATGAAGAATAAAACTTTAAGGAGGAGTGTTGATATTAAAGTTTAATTATTAAAAATAAAAATCATAAAGGCCTAGAAAGAACTATGGGGATCAGTTAGCGTGACTACCCCTAAAGGGGTAGTGATTTTTGACACCCCCTTTATGATTGGCCAATTTTATTTCCAATCATTGGCAAGTATTAATTAAACTGATTTTTTATTTTTTTTTTAATCTTGTAATTTGGGGTCTCTCACCACATTGGAAAAGAGAAAGAATCTGGGGAAAAACGAAATCACCCCCATTAATTACATAATTAATTTCTCTCACTGGTACATTAATTACATGTACCACTCCACTGGTACACGTACCACTCCACTGGTACACGTACCACTCCACTGGTACACGTACCACTCCACTGGTGCGAGCAATCCACAAGGTAGGTTAGAGTGAGAACAATACCAGTGCAATGATATTTTTCATAACAATGATAAACAATAATAGGGAAAAAATAGGAACTTTCCATTAGTAGCCAAAAACTGTGTTCCAAAATGGGTTGCAAAATTAGGGAAATGCCAACAACAATGCCAAAAGCAATAAATTATCCTTCGAATGTGAATAAACATAAAGTCTTCACAATTTTTTAAGCCTAAACAGGACATATGGTTACACGTACCACTCCACTGGTACACGTACCAGTGGAGTGGTACGTGTAATTAATGATCCAGTGAGAGAAATTAATTATGTAATTAATGGGGTGATTTCGTTTTTCCACAGATCCTTCCCCATTCATAATTACCAACGTTTTTCTCCTTCCCCATTCATAATTATTATCACAATTAAGGCTTTCCCAATTTACAAGATTACAATAAATAAAGTAAAAAGCAACTTTCATTAATAAAACTTATCAAATGATTAAATGGAAAAGTGACCAATCAAGAGGAGGGTGTCAAAAACCACTACCCCTATAGGGGTTAGCATAGTATCCGACCCCAGAACTATGTGGAGCATGTGTGGATTGGAAGGTTGTAGAGAATGCATTAATGGCGTTGGCTGCAATTATTAGTGACTAAAGAATTGAAAAAGATAAGAAACCACAAACCTATGACGGTTCTCAACTACGAGAGTAAATCTTTTGTAAGTTGGAGCCTATAAATAGGCCTCTCTTTGTACGATTGGGAAGCATAGCCAAGAAAAGAAAGAAGTAGCCAATAAAAGAAGTTCTTCCATTAATTTCTCTGTTCTTCTTTCAATTACAAGACCTTTCCTTCTTTCCTCCCAAACCAGTTTTCCACCTTAGCAAATAAACACAAATTCCTTTTCCCAAATGAACAAACCCTTCCCTTCCTATTGTTAAGTACGAGCCAAGTGCCCGACATACATGTCCAAGATGAGGTGAGTAACCCTTTGGTTATTCACCCATGAGTAACTAAATATGGACCATTAATTTTGAGTGGGTCCAGAAAATCCAGATCTAAGGGTCAAGAACTAAAGACATTTTATTTCCCCTACTTTTCTTTGTATCTTTGATAAAAATACAAGATAAAAAAAATACCACCCCATACCACCCTGATATGGGGGTGGTATCTTGTGGTACACAATGTTGAAAGCCGTAAATGACAATTAGTATACTCCTATTATTATGTATTCAACCATCCTACGGTCTGGTATGTTCATACCACCATGGTACACTTTCATACCATATGATATGCTCTTATTTAATACCAATCAATATACCCCATGGTAGACTGGTAAAAAATGCCTCAATTTTTTTGTTTCATAATATATCAAAGTGTTTATCATTTTGAAGAGCAAAATTAATCTAATTTATCTATGTAAAAAATTAAAATTCTGACTTAAAATGAGAGAAATCGTCAGTTAAAAATTAAAGGGGAAAAGATTAAAGGATTTCCATAAATGAGAGAGAGGTGCTGCTGCGACAGTTACTCATTATTACTTACCTGATTCGTTTTCCGACATATAAAAGAAAATTACACTCTATTTCCAACATTATCGACAGGAAGAAAAAATTAATCCCGCCAGTAGAATCAATAATGTCATCCAAATCAATCTTTTCACCTCTCTCTCATCATTGTTAATGTATAGTTAGTAAATACTTCATTAATACAGGTATATGTACCCGTACGTAATTTATCCGTTTAAAACTTCCGTATCCGTATTATTGTCAAGCCGTTTCATTTTGTTTCCGTTCATTTGACGACTCACGTACTAAACACGTATAAAACCCATATAACGCATTTAATATCCGTATTTAATGAATTAAATTATTAACTTTACTATTTTTATTTATTTATTTATATTTAAAAATAAATAATTTTATATATTTATGACTATTAACGTACTATTAAACGTAATGTTAGCTTAGAGATGACGTAAAATACCCGTACGTATTTTATGTGTAACTTTCCCGTACCGTATTTTACTAATTAGCTCTAACATTGATACGACATATTCCCAGGCGCCCAATATACTTTTAGTCTGAAAAACTTTTCGGCCAGAATTCCTTAAAAGATATGTGCTTAGGGACTGGGGCGACACCATTCGCATTCCTGAACTATTTCCATGGTGTCTGAAATTGAAATCAATTCAGGTTATTCTATTTCTTCTAGTTCTTCATGCTATCTCGATATCATCACCCGTCTCCCTCGAGTTTATGCTCAACGGTTTGGAAGAGCTCGTCTATGGTATTCACAAAGCAGACGGTGGCGATGGTCGGGCGGCAAAAATTATGGTGATTCTAGTGGTGATTTGGATTGATGAAGGCCGAGACCTGGCTGGTGATAGCTGGTTGACGACAACGATTGCCCTCGGCCGATTGAATACGCATATTTTTTTAGCAGCATTTTTATTTGGGTTTTAGTAGCTGAAAAAATTGCTACTAAAACTTACACCAACAATCCGTCACTTTTCCTCTGCGGTTTTGGCTAGATTTAGTGGATGTTTTTTAGCTGTAGTTCTGCTGTGGCAAATTTACAAAATAATCACTAATAATAAAATAATTTGCTTTCTAACCATTGTTGAGAAATGTTTACAAATCTAATCAGTTAAGAGTTCTTCTACGCGTCGTCGCCTAAAAAGAAGCGTCGCAGGCTTGTGAACTGTTCCATCGACAACTTGTACTTGTTCTTCACTTTAAGAGAATTTGTCATCTGACTCATCTCAATAACCCATTCTCCATAGTTGCTTGAAGTTTGGACATCTCCAGGCTGCAATCGGCTTGTAGTTTCAGATGGGTGCATATACAACGGTGACGGAGGATCTTGATCCTTGTTGGGGGACAACGAAGAATGAACTCGACTACCTTTTCTCTTGTTCGTCAACTCATGATGATAAGTTAAAGCTTGAAGAGTGGATCAATATTGCTCTGATACCATGAAAAATTGATGAACAACTCAAAAGAAAATTGAGACGATGATTTTACATGGTCCAACGTCTTAGTGTGAGAGACCTACGTCCACAAAACATAAGCTACTTATTTTATTAGTTAGTGGCCGTTGGCCATACTTATATAACCCTTTCAACACTCGAATTTAGGGTTCTAAACAAGGAAAGAGGAGAACAACTCCAAGACAGGCAAGGACAGATTGCCATGTGCGAGTCAGTGCAGTCAAAATCGCGCATTAAAAAGTAAAAACTTACGTTTTTACGTATCTAGGCCACCAAAACGTTTCAGTTTCTACCTAAAGTCGCTTAGTCACAAAAACTGGTAAAAACATGGGTAAAATCGATAAAATCGCGTAAAATCGGTAAAATCGCGATTCTGAAGCGTTTTTATACGATTTTGATCATCTCATAAAAATGTGCTAATTGGCCCAAAATGATGTAATTTTGGAGACATATCAGCAAATAATAAAGAAAGGAAAACATGATTCATCACTCGTTCTACAACTAGTGTCGAAAAAGGGGGCTTCACATTAGGTTGAAAAGACACCTAATGGTATTCTCAACAGTCGCTGACCTTCTATCAGTCTTCTCCCTTAATCTTCACCAGTGGCTCTTACCTGGGTTACGATGAAAGTTTATGGGTAATTGATCGTATGTAATTATGTAAACTCAAACCAGCTTATGAGAATTTGGATTCTCAAGCTCGTTTACGGGTTACGATCCACGTTTATGAGCTTATATTAAGATGTTATGAGTTTTCTCTACTTTTGAGTCAACGCAAATTAGTTTATGTGTTAGTTATTACATTTTAATTATGAATTTCATGTAGTTATCCACTTATCTAAAATCTATACTCACATTTTACATACTATATGTTGTACTTAACATATTTTAGCTATTTTAGAGGGTGCGTCAAAAACTTACGATTATACGCTTTGATTCTACGTTTTACGATTTTACCCATTTTCCGCTTCTAGGTAGAATCGCGCTTTTAACTGCATTGTGTGCGACAAGTCTTCTTCTTCTGTATACAAAGAAACTTGTTCGGGACAGAGACCAAGTGTGCCAAAGGGCGATCTCGGTCCAAATAAAGGTAAGGAAACTGATTCAAAATAAAGGGGAAATAAAAAAAGGTAAATTGCAAGTTTGGTCACTAGAATTACTTAATAATCTCAACGTTTGCCACTAAAATTAATTTATTTTATTCGTATTCACTTAAATTAGGTTAACACTTCAAGTTTGGTCACTGGTCGTTAGTCTCCGTTAACTTTTGCTGATTTGGCGGTCAACTCTTATAGTTGATCGTTAAATGAATGACGTGTAAATTAAAAAAAATAATAATAATTTTTTATTTTCCAGCTAATTATTATAAATTAAAAAATAAAATACTAGTTCTTTTAATTATTTTCCACCACCATCTTTTAATTAAAAGAACTAGGATTTTCATTTTTTAATTTATAATAATTAGCTGAAAAATAAAAAATTATTATTATTTGTTTTTTCAATTTCCACGTCACTCATTTAATGGTCAACTATAAGAGTTGACCGTCACATAAGTAAAAGTTAATGGAGACTAACGAGTAACGACCAGTGACCAAACTTGAAGTGTTAACCTAATTTAAGTGACTACGGATGGAATAAATTAATTTTATTGACAAACGTGAAATTATTAAATAATTCTAGTGACCAAACTTGCAATTTAGCCAAAAAAAATTACCAACTCATACAAGATTGATCATTGTTTTCCTAAGCACGATTCAATTATTATTGAGGTAGTCAAGACTTGGTATAGAGATCACTATGGACTATGGTGCCAACGGAGTAGAGAAAGCGGTTGATTATATAAAGGTGATAAATGGATTTATGAATAAGATGCGAAGACTCATCATTTGCTTTATTATTATTAGTGAAAAAGACTGAAGAGCACAAGAAAGCATTGACGATCCACTACCCTCTTCTTTTCTCCTCTCTTGGTCAAGATTCCTCCGTAGGGCTTCCTGAGTTCCTGTGACGTGAGCGTGAGAAAACTCAAAATTGCCGAGGAAATGACCCATTTTGTTGAATTGCATTTTTTATATATTAGTTCATTAAAATTAAAAATTACGTGGGATGGAGTAGTTAGATAAAAAGCAAAATCCAGGTTAATAAAAAGAAGGAAAGAAAGCAAACAAGATGCACAATTCACAACCATTTGAGCAATAAAATAATCACAGATCAGTTAGACTAAATAACCTATTGATCAACAATCAATGTACTCCTCACCCAACGATTGCAGCTCCCAACTACTCATTATGATCATATGCTCAACAAATCGTTTAGTTCTCGTATCGACGAATTAGAAGAGAAAGTATCGACGAATTAGAAGAGATGTCAACCTACAATCGTTTCTGGAAACAACTATTTGGTTTTTGAAATTGTGAAAAAAAAGTAACAAATTACCAACAGAATTTACACTTGTCGCGTGTCAAAAATAATCTAAGTAGAAAAACAATAAACAAAAAAACAAGAAGGAAAAGCAAAGGAAAGGCCAGGTCGTATTTTGACCACCATCAGCAGCAGCACCACCGTTTCTTCCCTTCTTCCTCCTTTCTTCCTCCTTCGTTTCCTCTTCCTGCTTCATTTTTTTTTAAAACAAACAAACAAAAAAAAAAACGAAGACCGATAACACCAGAAAACCCAATCAATTCCAAGCGTGTTTCTGAATATAAACGCCGCCTGCTCTTTTTTTCAATTCCCCACATTCCCATGATCTGCCCCTCAATTTTTGCATATACTTCAATCGCTGACTTCTCCTTGCTTGGTTTGTCGATCCTCTGAACTCTGCCGCCGACCATGGGGATTTGCCTCTCCACAACCAAGGTCAGTGGCTCCAGCAGCAACAATCACAACCACAAGAACAACGCCGCCGCCGGAGGAGGGGTAGCAGGCGGCGTCAAGGCTACCGCAAGCGGGGCGGCGGCAAAAAATAAGCAGGCTTCGTCGGCGAACAATACTAAGAAAAATCACAATACCAACGAGAAGAGGACGACCAGAAAACAGCAGCCCGAACAGCAGCAGCAAGTGAAGTTAAAAGGGAAGCAGAGCTCGAGGAAGGGCAGTGGGGCGATTCCGTGTGGGAAGCGGACGGATTTCGGCTACCATAAGGAATTCAATCAACGGTACACGATCGGGAAATTGTTGGGCCATGGCCAATTTGGGTACACGTATGTTGCTACTGATAAGGAAACCGGAGATCGTGTTGCAGTCAAACGGATTGACAAAGGCAAGGTAGTGCAAGCGTTCTCTGTTTCCTATTTCACAGTTGTGTTTGCCTTTTCTTAATGCTTCCATATCTGATTAATCGGATTTTCTACCTGGGTTTTGGTTTATGTGGCCTCAATGGGTGATTGATGAATCTGGGTTTTGCTTAGATTTCGTCTTTTGATCCATTTATGTTGAATAAATAATGTCCTTGTTGTTTCTGATGGAAATCTAACTGGGAATTTGTGGTCGTTATTGAGATTAAAGATCGTCAAATTGGGCGGGGAATATTTACAATTCTGCACTTGAATCATCAAAATGGTGGATTGCTTACCAGATCCTATTTACGTAGCTGTTTTTAACTATAGAAGACCTTTTAATAGGGTCCTAGATGTTTGTTCCTGTGGAGATAGTTCATCTCACTTTCCTGATTAGAGCCGGTCTAACTTGCTGTGATACCACCTTATCCAAGCCACCGGATTGATACCGTCTACTGCATGCATCTATCTGTGTTACTTGGAAGACTCTGCCGTCTGCTATCAGATTAGTCTCATGGCCGAAATCCTATTCGAGTTTACCAAAAAAAAAAGAAAAACTTACTACTATGTTCTCTGTGGGACCCATTTCATGGAGGATTAGCAGTTTCAGCTCTGATCCTGTGTCTCTCCTACATGCTTGTTTTTTTTTTACCAAAGGGATTGCTGTAAAGCAAACGCCAGGGTTTTCATAAACCTTCTTTCTTTCTTGTTTCCTTTTCATATGATAGTTTAAAGTTGTTGAGGGGTGAATCTGAGATGCTATTATCTAGAATCTGTCTAAAGGATGAACAGCTTTCTTGATGGCATGAATCCGTTGTCTCATGTGCTAGAATGCTGCGAGGATGATGCTTTGGTTGACTCGCTTGGGAGTTCGACCCTAGCTATAACCTCTTTTGTTCGTCTTCATTAATGATTTGCATCATTGTTCAATGTTCTTCTAAACTAATTCTTGTGGTGGTGATAGATGCTTCTTCCTATTGCTGTCGAAGACGTCAAAAGAGAGGTCAAGATTTTGCGGCAACTTGCTGGTCATGAGAACGTGGTCCACTTTGTCAATGCATTTGAGGATGATTCATATGTATATATAGTTATGGAGTAAGTTCTGTACTTCTTGTCATGGCAACTTCTTTACCATTGCTCTTGTTAGGGGAAGCCTGTAATTCTCTGGTTGGGTAATGGGTATGCGAACTACCATGTTCTGATTCTGTCATCAAATCTTTTATCTGACGATCATTGTTCTTCTTGCACTTATTTAGGTTATGTGAAGGAGGTGAACTACTAGACCGGATTCTGGCAAAGTAAGAAATCTGATATCCAGAAATTCGCTCTAGTATTTATCTTGATATGATTTTTCCAATCTGATGTTTTGGTGTCATAATACGTAAAAAGAGTTGTTTATTGTATTTCGTCTGATATTGTACTTGTGTCTTCTTGCTACTCTTCTCTCAGAAAGGACAGCCGTTATTCCGAGAAAGATGCAGCAGTAATTGTAAGGCAGATGCTTAAAGTAGCAGCTGAATGCCATTTACATGGTTTGGTCCACCGTGATATGAAGCCTGAGGTATATCAAGTATTTGGCCAAATATGCTATGCTTATTGACATTCTGAGAAGGACAGTAGTGGCATGGACAATAAAATTTCTTATCAGCTCTTTCTGTATTGTTTGCCTCTAGAACTTTCTCTTCAAGTCAACTAAAGAGGACTCAGTGCTGAAGGCTACAGATTTTGGTTTGTCAGACTTCATAAAGCCAGGTGAGTGGTGCTTCAGTCAAGCTAAGGGATCACCATTTGGCCGGACACTTCTGATGGCCTCAGTCAGTTATCTTAGGAAAACCTTAAACACTATCATATTGTTAAATTTGATTTTGCAGGAAGGAAGTTCCATGATATTGTTGGCAGTGCTTACTATGTTGCTCCTGAGGTCTTACAAAGGAAGTCTGGACCTGAGTCAGATGTCTGGAGCATTGGTGTCATAACATATATTTTGCTCTGTGGAAGACGGCCCTTTTGGGATAAAACGGAGGATGGTATATTTAAGGAGGTGCAGTACCAATCTTAATTATGATCCTGGCCCTTTGGTATTTTCCCTTCATTCGCATTGTAATTTATGCTATATATGCAAAAGATTTTCACTTGTTTAGAGTATACAAGTTCGTCAGCATGAAAATGAGGTTCTTTAAGCAAGACACTTCGTAATAATGTTTCCAAAATTTTCATGGTATAACTTATTTATGCTGCAATTCTACCACTGTTCACCTAGCAATCCTCAATGTCGTTCTGCTGATATTCACTGAATGATTTAATTGACTTTAAGTTTGTATTGAGTGGACCATTTTATCTTCTGCTTCTTAATCTATTTGGTTTCCATGTCCGTTATTTTACTGCAGCATCACTCTTACTAGTATTATTAGTTCTTCAGTTCGCTATTGCGTAATTCTTGCAGGTCCTAAGAAACAAACCTGATTTTCGCCGCAAACCATGGCCAACCACAAGCCACAGTGCCAAAGATTTTATTAGGAAGTTGCTTGTGAAAGATCCTCGTGCTAGACTTACAGCTGCTCAAGCGTTGTGTACGTTTTCCTATCCCTTTAACTTGTCCTAAAAAGGGGAGAAAATAGCTAAAAATGAACAGGTGAAGTATTAGGTGAATGTATTTCGTAAATCATCTGTAAACATAGTTACCCTGTTTCCCAAGTATAAAATCGCTTGGCTTGAAGTTCTTATGCCTTTTAGCATTTGACAGCACATCCATGGGTCCGAGAAGGAGGAGATGCATCCGAGATTCCAATTGACATATCTGTTCTGAAGAACATGAGGCAATTTGTGAAGTACAGTCGCCTGAAACAGTTTGCTCTCCGTGTAAGCTTATAGTTTTAGATTCTCAGCTGTAACAATAATACGATGTCTTATCATTTTCTTCCCTCTTTTATACTAATATGCTTATCCCATTGCAGGCATTGGCTAGCACACTTGGTGAAGAGGAGCTATCTGACCTCAAGGATCAATTTGATGCAATCGATGTAGATAAAAATGGTTCTATCAGTTTTGAAGAGATGAGGCAGGTGGGTATCAAGTTCTATATTTTGAATCGTTCACCGTGCTATGTGTTGTTTTTCTAAGTACTTGATAACTGATGATATGGGGCCGCATACTTGCAGGCACTTGCTAAGGATCTACCCTGGAAGTTAAAAGAGTCGCGTGTTCTAGAAATTCTACAAGCAGTAAGTCTGTCTCCCTCCTTTCAACTTGAACGAATATCTATTAGGTTTCGTCAGTGAATTGATGTGGCATTTTGTGTGTTCGTTGTTTCCCCAGTAGGGTTTCTTGCATACATGCATCCCAGAACCTTGTAGTTGTTTGCTTGTGGTGAAACTGACTCCTTGCCCCTTTTTTCTTGAATAACCTTGTTGGTGCAGATTGATTGCAACACGGACGGGCTTGTTGATTTCTCTGAGTTTGTTGCAGCTGCTCTACATGTGCATCAGTTGCAAGAGCACAACTCCGAGAAGTGGGAAGAACGTTCTCAGGCCGCTTTCGACAAATTTGACATTGATGGAGATGGTTATATTACCCCTGACGAGCTTAGAATGGTAAGACGAACTAACTTAGTGGTGAATTGTTTCAACAGGCACCAAAATATAAAATAAGATTCCAGAGTGAGTGCTGCACTCTCAACTGATTTTGGTTTACTGTTGCAGCATACCGGGTTAAGGGGTTCAATTGACCCGCTCCTTGAGGAGGCAGATATTGATAGAGATGGCAAGATAAGCCTATCAGAGTTCCGAAAACTTCTGAGAACCGCAAGCATGGGGTCAACCAATCTGCCGAGTCCTTCTGGTCACCGCAATTCTCGGAGGGTCTAGAAGATGCAAGTGGAGATTTTGGCGATGAAAGAAACTTGTGTCATTGTTGTTTATTCTTTATCTTTTGTGGAAGTTGTTCATAGTAAGGATTTGATGTGATGGTGAGTGAGGATAAGGCGGAATGTAACGAGTTATAGGTCGGAAGGGAGGGAGTTGGTATTTTTGTATGTGAAACTTCAGTCGTCTCTGTAATTGAAGAAACAAAGAAAAGAAAACATAAGGGCTGGTTCCTGGTGTGGCCCTAAGGGCGCTGGTGATGTTCGATAGCATCCTTATGGGGTTGGGCGTAAGTAAGGATGTCCTTACGCCGATCTCCATATGGACCATAGCTTATTCAGTGATGGATGGGTAATGTCATTGTCGGATGTACATTCTTCTCGAGTGTTATGAGTTTGTTTACTAGTGAAGGAGGATTAACCAAATGTCAAATGAAAGCTCAAGGATTTAGAGTTGAGATCAATTAAGTTGGTTGACGTTGCTTCATTTCATTTCGAGTTTTGTCTTTTTGACACTGCATCTGCATGAATAGTAAGCCTAAGGTGTCCGTGAGAGCGAGTGTCTCTATACTACTACACCAATTCGAGTTATACTTGGCTCGGATTGGAGTTGATAGTTTGGTTAACAACGGAGTTTATAACTTGGTTTGTATCAAGTCGTTTAATTTGCTTAATCACCAAGTATTTCTCCCTCTTCCATTGGAACATCTTCACAGCTTTAGCTAGGCCATACATAAATGGCCTTCTCTGAGGATGTCACTGAAAACCTCTTACTTGCAGCCTTCTATGACTATGGTGTGACTGGCTTAGCCCCTTCCGCTTGGTGGTGCACGCTTAGAGAGATGAATCCTAAATCATATCAATCATGTCCTCCATGGTAACAAGCATTCATGGAATCCACGTTTTAACGTTGTTTCGATAGTCCTCTTAAACATGTGTTTGCACATGAAAAATTATTTTAACATTTGAGCTACCAAACCATAATTGATTACATTTTTGTTTTTTGCCAAAAGCTAACTTGTATTACCAAGAAACTGAAGAGATAACCGAGTTTACAACTTACCTAAGCAACCACAATTCAAAGAGCAAATTTTAACCAATGACGAAAATCAAAACCACTTGTCTCTGCAGGAAACAAAGAGATAGCCTTTTTGGCCACTGAATGGGCTGCCCAGTTGTTACTCCTGCCAATAAACTCCACTCAAAGCTCTCGTAATGTCTCCGGAAGCATTGAATATCCTCAAAGATGACCCCTCCTCGAACATCCCAAGTGTCTCGACCCCTAACTTTGTTAATAATTGTCTTTGCGTCTCCTTGAAACACCACCTATGTAAAAAGACCCTTCAAAGAGCACCAATGGATAGCATCCCGAAGCACCAGTAGTTCGACAATGTACGGGTCGTCAATATCTGCATAAAGAAAGCCCTGCACAAAAAGCATTGTACCTACCCTATCCCTCAACACCACACCCCTGCAAAATATGAGCCTTGAGCAACCGCACCATCCACACTACAAACAAAAGGAATCCCCCCATAGTACCCATTATATCCTCATATTGTCCCCTCATTCCCACCGAAAAGGGAACCTGTCCCGGTAATGCTAGCCACTCCAAACTTGTGCTTGATACTGTCAGAGCAAAACATAACACTTGTACTGGATGTGATCAAACACAACCCAGTTTCGAGACTTCCATATACGCCACAGAAGGGCCACAAGTCGCATGACTCGATCTGCAGATGAATCTCTTTCTAGGATTCGATGAAAGAATAGTCCAACATTCAAATCCTATAGGTCTTGTCGAGCTACCATCAAGCCACTGCCTTCCCATAACTCGACCGCCACACTGCAGTAAAGGAACAAATGATCCATAGATTCCAACGGCTCCCAACAGACCGGGCAACGCAGTAGGCAAAGAATTCCTTTCTCTCGATACGTCTTTGCAGTAGGAGGAATCATCCGAAGGAATTGCCACACAAAAAATTTGAGTTTTGGGGGAATTGGGAATCCCCAAACTCTATTCCAGAAGCTAGTTTCAAAATACGAGACTTCTCCTTCCATCCTGGCTCCTTACGCCTAAAGTGCAGCGCCAAATGATATCACGAGAGAACTGAGTATACTCCATCAGCCTCCACAGTCCATACTAGACGATCCATCACTAGCAAACGAGGCAGCGGAATACCCTCTATGCTACAACTGGCTGATGGCAGGAAATGGTGCTCGACACACTCTCGCACCATTCTCTTGTACCAACACTAATGAGAGAACAAATTGTTGCCCTCTCTGGCAGCGGAGCATAAGGTCTCACATACCGGCTCAAACTATACACCTCTGGGACCCAAGCATCCTCTAAAATATGAACATACAAGACATTCCCAACCTGCCACCGTAGACCTTTCCCTAGAAGCTCTCGCCCTTGCAGAATACTAGGCCATCCTCAAGACGAACGTGATCCACTCTTTGCCTGTAGAAGTGACACCCGAGCATAATACTTGCCTTTCAATACCCGTGTTAATAAAGAGTCTAGTTCATTCAGTATAAGCCATGCTACCTTAGCCAATAAATTTTGATTGAAATCCTCAAATCTACAGAACCCAAGGCCACCGTCAAACTTACTACAACATAAATTCCCCCAAGAAACCCAACGTGCTTTGTTCCCCGTCGTCGAATACCCCCACCAAAAGTGTGCCATATGCTTATGTAACTTCCGACAAAGAGTAAATGGAAGTAAGAAACATGACATGACATGAATAGGCAAAGCAGCAGGCACAACCTTAAGAAGAGTTTCTTTCGCCGCCTAGGACAAATGCTTTTCTTTCCAGCCCTACAGTTTGCTCAACAGTTTTTCTTCTAAATATCGATAAATCTATTTTTTAGATCTCAGCCCAAGAGTCAGCAACCCCAAATATTTATCATGTACTCCCACAGTGCCCACCCCCAAAATGGTCTTCATATCCTGCCGATCATCCTCTTCAACATTCCGGCTAAAACAAACAACAGACTTTGCTAAATTGACCTTCTGACCACTGAGATCCCGATACTCCGCAAGTACTTGCAGTAAAGAGTGACACTCTTGATTCGGTGCTTTCATAAACAAATATGAGTCATCCGCGAAAAAAAAAAGTGAGAGACACTCGAACTTCGCGGACTCACTTTGACTCCTTCCAGTTTATGTTCAGTTATTGCCTGGTGGGGCAAAGCTGCAAATCCTTCTGCGCATATCACAAAAAGTAGAGGTGATAAAGGGTCACCCTGTCTAAGTCCTCTTGTGATCGAAAGTAACCTTCTGGTTTACCATTCATCATAACCGAGAATGTAACAGAGGAAACACATTCCTTAATCCAATCAATCCATTAAGGACTAAATCCCATCTTTGCTAAAACTGCAAACAAGAATGGCCATTCGACTCTATCATAGGCATTTTCCATATCAACCTTCAAAGCCATATAACCCTTCTTCCCTTGTCGTTTAAGCTTCAGATAATGCATAATCTCATGCCCAATCAGAACATTGTCAATAATGTGACGATCCGGACAAATCCATTTTGCCCCGGAGAGATAATATGGGGCAAATGAATAGTCATCCTTTCTGCTAGAATTATAGAAATAACTTTGTAAAACAGTTGACAAAGACTGATTGGGCGGATCTGCTTCATTGATTCTACTGAATCCACCTTAGGGATTAAAGTCAACCACGTATGATTAAAACTTTTGAGTAATCGCCAGTGGAGAAAAATGACTGCATTGCCTCAATCACAGATGGGCCAACAATATCCCAATATGTTCGGTAAAACTTTCCTGTGAATCCATCCGATCTAGGAGCCTGCGTTGATCCTATCGAGAAAACCGCCCTCCGGATCTCATCCGGAAGCACCACCACAGTTAAATTGGTATTAATCTCAATCGAGACCACTAATCAATAGGCAAAGCAGCAACTCTTTCCGCCATATTTCCGACATCAGTCTCTACCCAGAAGAGAGTTTCATAGAATTCTATAGCCACCTTGACTTTCTCTTTCTCATCTGGGACCCATGCCCCAGAAGCATTCCTCAACCCTTCAATGTCGATTGCATCTTTCTAAGTAAAATTATAATTAAAATAGTAACATAATTTTTTTGTGTTCTTATGGAATCATTTGAAAATACCAAACAATATATAACTTTTGAGACGGTTAAGATTGAGTTTTAAAATTTAAATACGAATTCTCGTGAAAGTTATAAATAATTATGAAAAAAATTTAGTGTTAAATAAAATGTATTAATCAAACCTTTCATTTTAAACAAAATAATAGCCAAACCTTTTAAAAAATAATTTATTAGTCAAACCGTCAACTTTCGATTTGGTCAACCGTTAGTTGACTCTTAGTTGATCGACGGGGAGGAGAGATGAGCGACGAAGAAGAAGAATTGTGTTTTTTTTTTGTGTGACCATTATCCTTTTTGTTTTTGTAGAAGTGATATAAATTACATCATTTAAATTGACCATTATTATTTATCTAATTCTCCATCGGCGGCTTAATCATCAGCTACAGGAAGCCAAGAATGGATTAGGACTCATTCTGGGGAGGGGCAAGGACGACAAGATGGCCATAATAAACCCACTATTGTGCCTGCTCTAAGTTTGGTCAAAGGGATGGTTTGTGCATTTGTTGGGCCTTGTGTAGGGATTCGCATGCGACTTTTTGCTTGGTCATTCAAGACGCGTTTGGGAGGTTGTGATGGTTAAAGTTGGGCGACTCGAGTGGGTGTATGAGCCAGCATTGATTGAGTTTATAGCTCTTCGTGAGGCGTTTTATTGGTGTGTCTCTGAGGGACTTAGCTCGGTGTTGATATGCGGGGATGCGAATGGGATAATTGACAAGCTCAACGCAGGATGCATGGTTGTTGCACAAGGGGGCACCCTTTATCGAGAGATTAGGGCTCTTAAGCAAGAATATTCGAGAGTGGTAGTACAGTTTGTTGGGAGACAAAATAATAGGGTTGTCGCTACGTTTGCATCTAACGGGTATGCATGCTTAGGCAACACCTAAGCATACTAGGCGCTAGGCAAAGTCTCAACGCTCGCTTTACGCCTAGTGCTTTCTTGAACCTTGATATAAACTGACCTACCACTATCCCTCCCACTCACGGACGTCTATCCACTTTCCCCTCTTTCTACACAAACCTTCTCCTCCCTCCCCCCCCCCCCCCCCCCCCCCCCCCTCTCCCTACTCAAACTGTCTCAGTACACGGTGCTACGACAGTAACATTGATGAGGCATTGAGGTAGGCGGCACGGGAGAGGAAGCGTAGTCGGAGATGGCCAAGAAGAAGGCAGGAAACGACGATGGCGATGGAGTCAACTAATGGTTGGCCGAATAGAATGTAGACAGTTTGACTAATAAATTATTTTTAAAAAGGTTTGGCTAATATTTTGTTTAAAATGAAAGATTTGTCTAACAAATTGTATTTACCCTTAATTTTTCCAAGGGTTAATGTCACATTTGGTCAATGAAATTAGTAAATCGTGTCATGTTTAGTCACTAGAAAAATTAATATCAAATTTGGTCACTCAAATTACTAAAACATGTCATATTTAGTCACTCTCCGTCCAACTCCTTTGATGAAGTCTGTTATGTGCTGACGTGGATAACGGGAGCGCCTAGTCAGCACCATTTTGGCCCGAAAATGGTCAAACCCTACATGCCATGTCATACATCCAACCCTACCCATTAACCCAACACGACCCAGAACCAAACCCGAGCTTGTCACCACCACTAACATACCTACCCGCCGTCCCACCACCACCGCAACCACCGTCGTCCGGCAACCACATCGGCAGGTACAACAACCCGTCCACCACCGAGTCAACGAACACCGCCTTCTTTTCCTCCCGCATCAACATCGATGCTCTTTCTCTTCCACGCCGGCGTCATCGCCGCCTACTCTGTCCGATCACCACCACTAATTATTGAGAGGAGAAGAAGTAGAAGAACATCAAAATGGAAGCAGAAGGACCATAGAGAGTCAAAACCTTTTCCATATCCCAGCATCGGTAAAAATTAGAGCAGCATCTTAACCTAAAAATTGGAGATTTTTAAAGCTCGCCCCTTTTGAGCCTCTTCTCTCAAAATTGTTCATGAAACCCAATCCCATTAGGTGCCCCACGACGGTGGAACGGGCGATGGAGATTTGCTGCCAACGGGTTTTGGAGGAATCGATGGCTGCGGGGAGAAAACAAGTAATCCATTAGCCTCTGCCCTGGGTTCCCCTTCCATCCACTAGACCCGACTCGAGACAGGATTTCCGCTGCCAAGTCGCTCTACCCTTCATAAATAGCTGCCACGACTTCCATCAACACCGGCCTAGAGCAAATCGTTGGAGTTGCGGCAGAAGTCGTCATGGAAGAAGTTGTAGAAGACTACGAGGGAGAAATCTCGGGTTTGGTTCTGGGTAGGGTTGAGTTGGATGTAAGACATGGCGGGTATGGTTTGACCATTTTCGGCCCAAAATAGCGCTGATTAGGCTCTCCCATTTGCCATGTCAGCACATAACGGCCTCCATTAACGGAGTTGGACGGAGACTAACGGAGAGTGACTAAATATGACATGTTTTAGTAGTTCGAGTGATTAAATTTGTTAATAATTTTTTCTAGTGACTAAACATTACACGATTTAGTAATTCCAATAACCAAATGTAGCATTAGCCCATTTTTCCAATTGGTGATTTTGTAAAAAAACAATAAATACTTATGCGGTGTAATGAAATAACATATTTTTAGCCACGCCGCCAAATTTTTTGAATCAACAATTCATTAGCCACGTCACCAAATTTGTATCCAACTTTTCATACACAGTAGGTTTAACAAATTACAGTAGTTCCTTGTATACGCAATTAGTGTTGGGCATATGGATGGTTAATCTGTGGTTTAATATTGATTCACCCACAAATAACCCGGATCCACATGAGAAAAAGTAGGAAGTGTCCAAAGTGATAGTCTTAATAACTTGCGAGGAACTTATTATAAATGTTAGTCAACTTTCTTAATAGCTAGATGGAGAATTATTTTCGCGGATTGACTCGCAAACCAAGTACGCCCATCCATCCACCGCCGACCCAACCTGCCCATTGCCCCACCCCTATACACAATGCCTTTTTTTCGTACCGATCAACAGAAAAGAGACATGCGAATCAATGCTCGATTGTCTTAAAATTGAATCTATGTTCTCCATCTCACAGATGGTATAACATATTAATTCATTCCAAGCAAATAAGGATTGAGTTAGTGTTAATATCATTAGTTTTTAAAAAACTTAAGGTCTCAAATTAGAATCATTTCAGTAACACATAATTATAAAATCAAACCTGTAAAAATAATCAACATATTCCAAAACCATCGCAAACAAAAAAAAAAGGAAAAAATAAAGACTGCAAATTGAAAACAGAAGGCAACGGGAACACGTCAATTCTTAATACTCGTCGTTGATTAACAGGCGCACACAAGCGTAAATCAAGGAAATTAAGCAAAATTTCGATTCAAAATTAAACTAATTAAGGGCAAACTATATATGTCTGGAAGGAAATTGAGTAATATCACATGACCGGGACAGGCATCACCGTGGTATTGGAGGCGGCGGCGGCGGCGGCGGAAGTGTCGGCGTGTACCGTTACGGATGTCTTCTTGATGAACTCGATGCAGTCGGCGAGTGCTTCGCTGTTGTAAGGATCAGCCAGATGGCGGCGGTGGTGGTAAGTATCCGAAGGCGAAGCGGGCCTGGGCCTGGGCCTGGTGGGCTTGGAGAGGGCGGAGATCATGATGAGGCGGAAGACGGCTTCCCGGAAACGGTGGAGGAGGGAAATCGGAGAGAGGCGGTGGGTCTTGAACTGGTTGCTCTTCTTCATTCTTCTTGTCGACGGAGGAGGGGATGGCGATGTGTCCATAGGAATAGGATTTAATGTTGCCTTTTGTTGTTTCTTTTGTGGAGTTGAGTTGGGGTATAATTGGAGAGAGATTGAGAGCGATGAAATTATGGAATTGGAGAATCTTGTGAGATAGAGACAAAGTTTGGATTTTAATTTAGTGTTGGGGGCGAGCCGGCGGGGGAAAGTGGTCGGCTCTTTGTTTGGGCTCGTTAGCTAGCTGTACGCTAAATAAATATAATCACCATCATGTGGCATTATCGGGTTGTCTAGTTAATTATGCCGCTGCTTATTTGTTACTCAACATCTTTGGGCTCAAGATAGGGTGCATAACCATGGGTTATGCACCCATCAATAACCAAATCTGGACCCTTCATTTAGAAAATCCAGATCTAAGGATGGAGAATTAAAGACTATTTTTATTTTCACTAACTTTCTTAATTGATTCATATCTTTTTCGTTTTAACTCGGATTTTAATTTTTTTTGCACAGATGGAACGAGTTCACCGTGCTCTACAAAATGAGATCAATTTTCAATATTTTTTTAGGAAAAAAAATTCTGGCCTCTCGGTACCAACTGCATACCACATGGTATCTTCTTCGTTTTTAATTCGTTTTTGAAAACGTTTGCACAGCAGGGATGAGTTCATCATGATCTACTGGATCTACAAATTTCTGGGTGAACAAATTACAGGACCAAAAAATACCACACAATACCATACAATACCACACTGGTACGGGGTGGTATTGTATGGTATCTTCTTCGTTTTTGAAACGTTTGCACAGAAGGGACGAGTTCATCATGATCTATTGGATCTACAAATTTTTGGGTGAACAAATTACAGAACCAAAAAATACCACACAATACCATACAATACCACCCTGGTACGGGGTGGTATTGTGTGGTATACAATGTTAAAAGTCGTAAATTACAATTAATATACTTCTACTATCATGTATTCAACCATCCTACAGTATTGGTTTGTTCATACCACCATGGTACGTTTTTCAAAACATATGTATGCTTTTATTTCAATACCAGTCAATACCATATGGTATATGCGGGTAAAAAATGGCTCAATTTTTTTTGTTCGAAAAATATATTAAAGTGGATATCATTTTGAAGAGCACAATTAATCTGATCTAACTGTACAAAAAAAATTAAATTTCGACTTAAAATGAGCGAGAAATCGTCCGTCAAAGATTAAAAAGGGAAAAATTAAAGGCTTTCCATGAGAGAGAGGATGCTGATGTCATGCTGATGTGGACGGGTTACTCATGAATCATGATTACTCACCCTAAGGTTACTGACCTGATCCATTCCCCATCTTTGGACGTTCAGATTATAACGGAATTTGGTTTAAGTTTCCCTCAAAAGAAATATAAAGGATTGGGTAGCAGATCCGGTAAGTAACGTTGTGGTGAGTAACCTCATGCATAACCCAATAAGAATCTGCCATATTAGCGTATTCTTCTCTCTCCTGAAAAAATCATTAATTTTCTTTCCCTTAATCTTTAACGAACGATTTCTCACTCGTTTTAACTCGGTTTTTTTTTTTTTGCACAGTTAGATCATATTAATTATGCTTTTCAAAATGATATCCACTTTGATATTTTTTGGAACAAAAAAAAATTGTCAGTTATTACCAGTCTATACCATATGGTATTTACTGGTATTAAATAACAACACATGGTATTGACTGGTATTTTTCATACCATATGGTATGCTGTTATTTAATACCAGTCAATACCATATGGTATTAAATAAAAGCATACCATATGGTATGAAAAATACCACCTCATACCAGGGTGGTATAGTATGGTATGGAGTTGGTACCGAGAGGTTTGAAATTTTTCCCCCAGAAAATTTTGAAATCCAATAGATCATGATTAAATCGTTCCTTTTGTGCAAAAATTTCCGAAAATGACTAAACAACGAAGGAGATACCATATGGTATGGAGTTGGTAACGAGAGGGATGAAAAAAAAATTCTCAAAAAATATTGAAAATGGATATCATTTTGTAGAGCACAACGAACTCGTTCCATCTATGCAAAAAAAAATTGAAATCCGAGTTAGAATGAAGAAAATATGATCCAATTAAGAAAACTAGGAAAAATAAATTTCTTTAATTCTCCACCCTTAGATCTGCCGTCACTTAAAAGAAGGGTCCAGATTTGGTTACTCATTGTTACTCACCCTAAGATTACTCACCCTATCTTGAGCCAAAAGATTGGTGAGAGTACTTACGAGGGTAAATTCCACGGCTAGACCAATTTGGTTTAGTTAAATGATTAAGCAGTTTATAGTGCCAAAACCTAGAAATTAGGATGGTATTATTGGGCGGGTGTATCGGTTTGGAAGGTGAAGGTCGGAAAAAGATATGAAATATTTTTAATTTTTCTTTTTATTTATATTGTAACACGAATAGTTAATTATCAATTATGTATTGGACATTAAAAAACATAGTACATTCATCATTCAAACTATCAAGAATTTCACTTTTAATGTCACCAATCAAAAATAATTCGTGATTTCATCATTCATTCTATTCCGAATTATTTTCTTCACGTAGTTCATTGTAAAAAATCATGCTCTTTTAATGCTTGTCATGGCAACTGATAGACCGATAATTGCACATGTTTTTACCCCTATTCTTGAGCCGTTTGAGATGTTGATTCTCGAGTTTTAAGCCGATTTCACGCTAGGTTGTGCGTTTATGTCATATTTCAGGGATTGGCGTTGGCATCGAGACGAAGAAACGAGTTTCGGGTTGAAAGGAGCACGTTTGGGTTGAAGTAGGCTGGAGGAGAAAAATACCCGACCATGACCAGAAATACCCGGCCGGGTATTATTTGGAGATAGACCGGGGAAAGCCAGTTTTTTACGTCGAGAAGCATAGAGGGGCCCGGTTTCGAAGCTTAAATCCCCGGTCGGGGATTATTGGCCTAGACCGGGGATTTTTCCCTGCCCCCGACGGTGCGTTTTAATGATACCCGGTCGGAAGCCGAAATACCCGACCGGGTATTTTGACCAGGTATCACAATCTTGTGCTTCTTAAGGGAAAAGAAGGCCAAAAGAGAGGGGTGCCGAGTTTTAGAGAGACAGAGCGATTCCTAGAGAGAGAAAGCGACAAACCAGAGTTCCCAAGTGCCCTAGCTTGATCTTCATCACCATTGGAGCCCGACTTGAGCTTGGAGAAGTGCCGATTGACGACCAGGAGCAGAAAGTCATCCTTCACAGTATGATTTCCGCATCTGAATCTGCTTTTGCTTCTCTCTCCATGGAGTAGTTTTCCCATTCATCTGGGTATGGAGAACCCTAGATTTGTATGTGAGGTCTGATTGTATGAACCCAAGTACAAATTTTATGATTTGATTATATTCGATTGAGGCTTGAATGATTGAATGACTTGAATCCTGATCAAATTCCTGTTGTTTCTGCAGTAACCTAGAAAGAGAATATCTGCCTAGGTTGATAGAGCACCCTTAATTGAAGGTAGTGAATTGGCGACTTTAGTCGAGGAGCCAATTCACTATTCTGTACCGAATTTACTTCGGTAGTGGAGGTTTGGTTTGTTAGGGCCTCAATCTGTTTACTCCGGTGGAGGTTAGTCGCCCGCTGGGGACTCAGATTGAGAGGGTTTGGAGACCTTTAGTCGAGACTTCAGACTGTTTAAGAACCTTCCGCAGTATAACTATCATGAAATTCGGTACAGAATAGTGAATTGGCTGGGTGGCTACCCCCGGGACTCCTATCAGTGACGTTCAGGCTGGGTGGCTACCCCCGGGAGCTGACCATTGACGGGTTGGCCTACGCCATGGGGATCGAGTACCACCTGTTCTCCCGCCACGAGGTCGAGATCCCGAACCCGACCGACTGGAACCAGGACGAGTTCTACCGCCGGATAGCCAGGCGAGCCTATGGGTTTGATTACTTCGACGCTGGCCAAGCATCCGTCCGCACCCTCAAGCCACAGTGGCACATCCTAAACCTGCTCATCACCCGCTCCATCGTCCCCAACGTCAACGGCTCGCACAAGATTCCGAAGCGGGTGCTTTATGCCATGTACTCGATGAGGGACCCGGAGCATATGCTGCACTTGGGTTCTTTCATGGCTACCACTTTCTCCTGGTGCCACGGGAAACCCAACCACCTCTACTGTGGTCCCCTGATCACCCGTCTGGCGCGCCATTTCAACATCAGCTTCCAGGGACTCACGGACTCTTCTGCACGGGGCGGCTCCACCCCCCTCAGCCGGGAAGTGCTCCACAATGCACTCCTCCTGGCCACTGATGGCACCCACACCTGGGTGGATGGGCTTTCCATGCCTCCTGAGGAGGATGTGGATCTCGATGAAGACAAGGAGGACGTTGACTACTCAGGCAAGGAGGAGGATGACGATGATGATGATGATGGAGGGGCCATGGATGCTGATGAGCCGGAGCCCCCGCTCTCTCCATCAGGGGACCTTCAGCCACGACGGAGATCAGAGAGAGGCGAGTCTTCCTCTGGTCCTTATGGTCCGTCGATGGCTTCTGGCCCGTCGATGGACTTCTTCATGGAGCAGTTCCAGCAGATGGGACTCCAGTTTCAGCAGCTCGGTCTTCAGAACCAGTAGCTCATGGACCATCAGGTCCAGTTCTACCAGCAGTATTCGGCCCACCAGCCGAGTACCAGTCCAGGCTGACGGCTGTGGACGAGCGCCTCGACCGATTAGAGACCCATATGAGAGTCACTGGTGCTCTCATAGAGCGGGAGAGAGATCGAGGGCGCCGATTGATGGAGTACTTGGAGCACCTGCTCCAGGCATGTCACCCACCAGAGGAGCACCACTGGACCACCCGGTGGGATCACTCCCCACCACCACCACCGACAGATGGGGACGACGACCTCATGAACCATATCGACTTCACCGGTCTAGGAGGCATGTTTTGAGTGTTTTTGTTTTTGTCAGCGTGCAAACTGTCTTGTGTCGGTTTA